TAATAATGACGGGAATTACGAATTACCTTGTCAATACATACTTACATATTTTTTTTCTTTTTCAGAGACTTGAAGAGAATAAAAGTAGATTGAATGAAAGTTGATTGAAGCACATTGATCTCTCATCTAATAAATGCCATTGTTTTTACTTCTCACATTTAACCCCTCCCCCTCCTCCAAATTCTATTTCTATGTAATTATATATGGTACTTTATAACTCTTTATTCCAAGTAACATCCAAGTAAATTTAGATATTAACAAAGTACATTTACATATTCGGATTTCTTTCAGAAATATTATATTTAATTGTATAATAACATCCACTACACAACTCCTTTATTTCTTATGAAAACCACGCTTATTTATCAGTCAGTAAACCAGATAAAAAAGCCACTTATATAGATTTTTTGTACAATGCTGTTCCATCAGCGAAACATACGAAGACGTAAATTTCAATAATATTTTAACCCACTTAATCTTAAAAATTTTAATTTATTTTACAGATATCAATATAAACCATAAAATGTCTCTCTTTGTTTGTTAATAAGGGTTTTAACGTGCCAACTATTGCAGAAAAAAATACGTAATCCGCTTTCGCGGGTTACTTTTTTTTCCCTGTAATAGTGAAATATATGGAGATATCGAACAGTATTCAAGCTCAAAAGTCCATTAATCAATACAAAATAGGAGCAGAGCAAACACGGACCTCCAAACATCAGAGGTGGGATCAGGTGCCATGGAGGAGTGAGCATCCAACGATAATTCCAACGATAGCTCCAACGATAATTCACATACTAACAAACACGGAAGGCATTTATTGTTTTATTATTCTGTAGTGAATATATCCAGATCAGTGTGCTTCAATCTGTAATGTATGCGTTCGAGTGTGAGAAAAAGACTGAAAACTTAATGTAATAAGAATAAAATTATATATAGAAACCTTCAATATAATTATTCTGTTTAAAAGAATTCAAACAAGGAGTATTCGGTCTTGGACTAAGCCTTTTTAATATCCTTCAAAAAGGCGAGGTTACTAAAAAAAAATTGGTCAACGATGTTAATTTAAGAAAATTAAAAACACATCAGTTAATATGTTTCATGAACGTTAATTAACGCACTTCTTTCATTATTTTCAATCCCATAATGTGGTTATATTCATCACTAAAAAACAGGACATAACTCTTTATGTATTGGAAATATAAAAGTGTGTCTGAACATAAAATGTCTTCTTTTCAATAAGGATGTTTTTTTTTAAAAAAAAAAAAAAAAAAAAAAAAAAAAAAAAAAAAAAAAAAAACGGTTTAAAGTGTTTAAGTGACTTCAGTAAATTGTTTTTCTTGGCTGAATAAATCTTCATATTTCCCTCGTGATCATGCAATAAATGTATTTGTTCATCTCTCTGAAATATGACCCCGTTAAGAGTAATAATCCATTGTGTTAAAGGAAAATATACCAGCAAAAGTTTAGATTCTTAGGAAAAGGTTTATGAAAGAACTAGTAGAAAAACTATTATAATTTTTCCAGATGCAATTTGATCCTTCACCTCTAACTCGAATATTTCGTCAAGAGAAACAGTCAATATCAATTTATTTCTTAAAAATTTCAAATTTTTTCAAACTTTTAAACTATATCGGTTTTTATTTTTAAGAAATAAAACTGTAAAGAATTACATGCACATATGAAAAATTACTGTATGTGTACATAAACTGGCGTATTTAAAATTTAGGGCAATCACTGGGTATAGAGTTATTGGCAATATCATGAATAAGCGCTGTACTTGTCCGTGCCGTATTGTATTCATAAATGATTTCTTAGTGGTATTCATGAATTTGCGCATCGTTGTCTGCGCCAAAGCCGCTAAAATAAGAATCCCGCTCTTTAAGTACACATACATTAAAGCTGAACACTACTCATAAATAGGCACATACATTAAATGAAATATAAAGAAGGTGGAGAGACCTCTGATTGTTCTATGAACGATTAGTCAACTAGTTTATATATATCTGGTAATGGCAGCCATGTGGTTGGCCTGTTGTTTTCGATTTTAATTTTGGTGAAGTTGGCCTCTCTAAGGAGTAAGTTTTGCAATGTTTCACTTAAATTTATATCTAATTTGACAATTTTTGTCTTATAGTATAATGCAATATTTCTTATTCTGTTTAAATTTTGCAACTGCATTGTTTTGGATAATCGCACATTCTCAGCCTACGATAGGCATAGCTCTGTTTAGCTTACATGTTCAAGTTACACATTTAAATTTGTATAACTGTTTTTGATATTAATATTTTGTCAAATTCTTATTGTGATTTTGTACTTTGTCGTTTTTCATCCTCTCACGAGGATTGGCTAATAAACAGTACAGTGAAAAATCCTTATTTTCTGGCCATTTCATATGGAGCTTCGCCAGATAAGGGAGATGACAGCTCAGGGATCTCAACAGTTTGAGGAAAGTGTTCTAAACCTTACATCAAAGTTATCCACGATTAAAAGAGATATTGACCGTATTATTTCTGCGTCAGAACATGGTGTAGACCTCGCACAAAAACAACAGATTATTGAAATGTACAAAAACTTTTGGAAAATTATGAGGTTCTTAGTAACAATTATGAAGCATGTTTGAAAGGTCACAGAACTGTAAAAAGTGCAAATGAAGAGTCCTCAAACAGACTTATTCGTTCATCTTTGCGTGCCAAGGCTACTGCCTTTATTTACACTCTGCACTGCCGCAAGGCACCGTCATTTGTTCCCTCACACATATCGGGAAGGTCAAGATCAAGTCACATCACCGCTGTCTGAATGCAACATTCTGCAAATGTTGAGAAAGCGAAGGCCCGTTAAGCAGCGCATAGACAATTTTGTGGCTCTCACAGATAGCGATCGCAAGAAATTCCTTGACTTGTCTGATTTAGCTGCAGAAGTGGAATCAGTGAAGTGTGATCCTGTATTTGGCACAGCATTTTCATACTTTGACACGTCCAGTGGCATCAACGAGTTTGTACGTAAACTGCCGAAGCGTTTCCGGGAAAAGTGGGCTTCAGAATGTTAAAGATATAAGATGAACAATTATGTTTAACAAGTACCATTATCTGTGTTTACAAAATTCCTGAGAGATCTCGCGCGTGTGCATAATGATCCAAGTCTTATGTTTTAGAAATTCATTAAAGGAGCGTAAGGATTACCTTTACAAGAATGGTTACTGTTTGAAGTGTTGTGGTTCAAGGCGTCATCTTCGGAAGAACTGTAGAGAGAGTGTGAAATGTGACACTTGTGGATCTGCGTTCACCGCGGTGTCTAAAAACACGCCGACGCCCATCTGAGCGGTAAAGCGTGAATTTTGACTCGTCAGAGAAGAGTACACGGCGCCGTCTTTCCATTGAAAAGGCAGATGGACGGTGTGTTGCAACGATTGTAGACTAACGTCACGCCGATGACAAGGGGCATTCCAACTGCAATGCGACTCGGCTTGATGCCATATGTGCGAAGACGCCTAAGCAGAGCGCAGCTATGTTAAGGCTTCCCGAAGCTTTAAAATGGGATCATAGCATAATATTGCATTGCGAGGTCGGTTTTGGTTTGAATTTATGAGTATTGTACTTTAGTAGTTCCAATTTATATAGAGGATTCCTTCGGCTTTATATTAACATATTTGTTATGATATCACATGACTGTTGATCACGTGACGGTCATTTATAATTTTTTGAAGAGTTCACATAAATCGCTTTGGTGCAGCTAATTAACACAATAATTATTAATATTTTGTTATATAAATAAACTCATCGTATCCTTGAGTACCAGAAATGTGCTTGGGAAAAGTCATAGTATTACTTGGGTACAAAATATTTCGTAAGAAATTCAACTTACCTACAAAATTTGGGGTATTTTCCACACCCTATTGAATCCTGTATTAAAACAAAGCCATCACACATATTTCCCAAGCAAGATTCAGTTAGAGAACCTCTTCTTACATATTTCCACAAGAAAACTCAGATTAATCCTCACTGATCACCTGCGCCAGACCCATTTATACAAACACAAAAATTCTACCTCCAAACACGGGTATAGAACAGAGTATATTTCAAAAGAACATTTTCGTAAGCATTTTGAACATGCTGAATTTCAATTAAGGGTACGTAAGCGATGTATTTTTAAAATATTCGGATATACGAGTTAAAAACCTGTAGTATAAATACGTTTATTTATATCGGGTTCGGGGTTTGGTCTGTGGTTTATGTGATTACAGATCACCTATTTTTAGTGCCTTTCCTTTATCCGACACTGAAGAGTGCAGACGTATCTCCGTCCTGTCCAGTGTTTTCGGGTTTGAGGCCATCTTACCCTTGGTAAGAATAATTGTACAAATTATACAGAATTATACAACATTGGCGACAAGGATAAACTGGTTATATATTTTTTTTCTGATCAAGTGAAATTTACATTGTTTACCGTAGTCACTGAGCGTTTGGCGCCAAATTCAAAACAAAACGCAATTCGATTTATTATTTTTCTTTACTGAATATTTGGTTTCACAATTTATTTCATTTTACAATCACTGGTTGTTTACACAACTAGTTTCCTTTTCCTTGGTGGTATTTTTTTCTCCTTTTCCCCTTTGATAAATTACCGATTTCACAATGGCTCCAATCAACATGCAAACAGCTTCTGAATTTGAAATGTCAAAGATCCTAGATCATCGCACCATTACTGATGTAATAGGGGTTAGGAAAAGATACGAGTTAAATGCAAATATCCTTGGTAAATATACAGGTGTACCAGAAAAACAATGGAAAAAGTGGGAAGAAAATCAAATGGTTTCCTTTGGGGGAGCTACTAGCTTACAGTCAGATTTGTTCTATGATATGAGAGATCTTGATACTAGCATGAGAGAGTTGAATGTGAAATTAGAGAGACAGGAATAGGAATTGCAAGCTGAGAGAGAGGGAAGAAAGAAAGCAGAGTTTGCATTAGAACAAGAAGCCCAACAGAGAAAATGGTTAAGTGCAATGCCAGCAGATAGCATAAACACAAGAAAACCATCTGACAGAAAACAATCAGAAACAAAACAAAACAGAAAAAGCAAAATACATGATACAAAAGACACACATATTCACTCAAAATCAAACATGTTTGACAACACATATGATGAAAACACAAGAGGTAAGAAATATCATAGAAAAACAAGGTATCAATCCTCCTCCTCCTCCTCATCTTCACGGTCATCATCATCTTCCTCCTCCAGTAGTGACTCTGACTATGACAGACACCATCACCGACGCAGACACAGACAAAAAAGTCACAGTCCAACATCAAAATTACAAACATTTAGTGGTGATGGAAAAATCAGTTGGGATACATTCATCACACAATTTGAAAGGGTAGCTGACAGGCATGATTGGGGAAAAAAGAAGCGTACTGACAAATTGTTTAGTAGCTTAGATGGACAAGCTTTAGAATATGTCTGTAAGCTTAACCTAGACAGTTACAAAAAGATCAAGAAGGAAATGAGCAGGAGATTCAATACCAAAGAGAACCCTATCTCAGCTAGACGCAAGCTGCAGTACATGAAACAACATGAGGATGAATCACTCCAACAGTTTGCACAAAGAGTTCACTTCATCACCATTGATGGTTACAAATAATCAGGCAAGAAAGCAGTCAACCAAATTTCAACAGAAAATTTCCTTAGAGGGTGCAGAGATAAAGAAGCTGCTAGGACAGTTATGGAAAAGAATCCCAAAGACATCCATGAAGCTCTAGACCTTATGAGGACTTCAATTGCTAACCAGCAAGCTGTTTATGGTGCTAGCAAGTCCTACTATCACAGACAAGTTTCATTTGAACCATCACCAATGCAACAAACCAAAAAGTTAGAACAAATGGAAGACAAAATTTCAAAACTTACAGATATGGTCTTCAGTATTAAGCAAGCATTAGATGACAAATTTTCCAATGGTGGGGTTCTAAGAAATGCACCAAGATTTCAATCTAGGTCAAGGTCAAACAGTCCCATAAATTATGGTCAACCCTTCAGATCCAACAGTCCATTCAAAAGCACTCAAAATTCAACAATACAGAACAAGTCAAATCAAACATTTAGCAACTCTAGATCTCCATCTCCCTTCAAGTTTAAATACAGAACACCAAGTCCATATAGGTCTACTCCAACAATATCACAATCCTCAGCTAACTCCCCAATTTCTTCAGAAAATTTAAACTCCAGGTAACCAGTCTAGCTGACCGTAGTCTGGTAAATGAAGAAAAAGGTCAGAATCTTCAAGTCAATGTCAATGAAAATTCAAAAGGTTTGACTCTGGAGATTCCTTTTGTTGTCCATGGCCATCAAACAACAGCAGTTGTTGACACAGCAGCTATGATGACCTTGGTCAATAGAGGTATATTCCCGGGTGAAAACAGTTCCACTCTAACATCACAAAACATTACACTCAAAGGTTTAGGTGGACATGAAATAACAGGGCAACTGTACAAAAATGGCTCGTGTCAGATAGGATCTCAATCATATTCTATTGATATGTGTGCAGTTGACATGAAAGATACAGTAATTTTGGGGTTAGACTTTTTAGAGGCCAACCATTGTGTCATTGACCTCAGGAAAAATGTTTTGGAAATTGGCAAGCAAACAATAACAGCAAATATAAAGAACATACAAGGTGAACAAATCAAGGTTGCAAGGGTAACATTTCAAAGTAGATCTATCATACCAGCAAATTCAGTGGGGTTTGTAAATTGTTCTCCAAGTAGGCCCCTTGACACCAATTTCATAGTAGAACCCTTTAGTTCTCCAGAATTTTTGTGTTCTTCAGTTCTTGGTAAAGGTGAGACTCTGAAAGTGAAGGTTGTCAATGACTCAAACAAAACTGTGAAATTAAAAGTAGGTCAACACATTGGAAATGCAGAGTCAGTAGAAATTGTAACAAATAAAATAGATCTTCAACCTGTCATTAAAGGAACATCCATTGACAATAGCACACCCACAAATCTTGCACTACCTATTCATATTCAAGATCTCTTTGATAGGTCAAGTGTAGGATTAGATCAAGAGCAGGTCAAAAAGTTAGGTTGTTTGTTAGAAGAATATTCAGACATATTTTCCACAGGGGAATTAGATCTAGGGTGTCTAAAAGGTGTAAAACACAGTATTGATAAAGGAAATGCCCCTCCTGTAAAACAAAAGTTCATCAGAACACCTCTAGGGTTTCAAGATAAAGAAAAAGAGCACTTACAGAAATTATTAGATGCAGGAGTCATTACCCCATCTTCTTCTGAGTGGGCATCTGCTCCAGTTTTAATCAAGAAAAAAGATGGTAGTGTCAGATATTGCGTAGATTTTAGAGATCTAAATGCTAGGACTGTTAAAGATTGCTATCCACTACCCCTTATTTCTGACTGTATGGATGTTCTGTATGGCACCAAATTCTTCTCAAGTACTTTGGATTTAGCCATGGGCTATTATCAAATTGAAATTGAGGAAAATAGCAAACAGAAAACAGCTTTTTGGACTAAATATGGCCTCTTTGAACACCAAAGAATGGCTTTCGGGTTGTGTAATGCCCCCGCAACATTTCAAAGGGCAATGGGACTTGTCTTGAGAGGTATGATTGGGAAGAACTTTTAGTTTACCTAGATGACATCATAGTCTTAGGCAAAAATTTCTCTGAATCATTAGAAAACCTCAGAAAAGCATTTGAAAGATTTAGAAAATACAACCTAAAATTAAAACCAAATAAATGCACTCTATTCAGACAAGAAGTAGAATTTTTGGGTAGAATAATCAATTCTGAAGGTGTACACATTTCCCTAGATAAAATTAAAACTATTAGTGAGTGGCCCACCCCTCAAGACAAAACCCAACTCCAGGCTTTCTTAGGGTTTGTTAATTACCACAGAGACCACATTAAGAATTTTGCAAAATTAGCAATACCCTTATATGACTTACTTCAAAAGAATGCTAAATTCAACTGGACCCAAGATCACCAGAATGCTATGAATGACTTGAAAACTGCTTTGACTAGTCCAGAATGTCTCAAATTCCCAACTCCAGATGGTACTTTTTTACTGGACACTGATGCCTCCCATCATTCCATTGGGGCAGTCCTATACCAAATCAATGATGGTAAGGAAGAGGTCATCAGTTATGCCAGTCACATATTACTGAAAGAACAACGTAGATACTGTACCACAAGGAAAGAGTTACTTGCTGTGGTTAAGTTCTGTCGGCATTTCAGACATTACCTCATTGGTAGGCCATTTATCATCAGAACAGATCACATCAGTCTCACATGGTTGATGAGGTTCAAACACATTGAAGGTCAACTGGCTAGATGGCTGGAGGAATTATCTTCTTATGACTTCCAGATCAAGCACAGATCAGGATCCTCTCATGTCAATGCCGATTCTTTGTCAAGGATTCCTGAAACGATTCCAGACTGTGACTGCTATGATGCTGGAAAGTCGCCTAACAGTCTTCCTTGTGGTGGATGTCATTATTGTACTAGAGCTCACAATCAATGGTCAAGATTTCAACTGGATGTAGATGATGTGATTCCACTAAGTATTAAATCGGACAATCTCTCTTCACCAAAAATACTGTACACAACCTACCCACAAACACTGCAACAGCACTTTCAGCCAACTCTTTGTAATTGGTCAGAAACAGTCACAGATCAAAATTTAGATCAGCAACAAAAAGATGATGCAAACATAAGTCCCATTTTTCATTGGTTAGAAAAACAAATAGAACCATCTGAATTTGAACTCAGACTAACCAGTCCTGAAACTAAGGTTCTTTGGTTATGTAGAGATAGACTTTTCATTCAAAATGGTGTATTGTTCTATGAATGGGTGAAGTGTCCTGCAATCAAAATGCCAAAAATTTCTATAAGATTTAACTGTGTATATATATATATTTTTTTTATGCTGACATTTCATTTACATGTATGCACTCATTATGATGTTTACAAGTGTAACATGTAACGTTATCATTCTTCATTTACCCATTTTTATCTTTAAAAAAAAACAACAAACAAACAAAACTTAAAATTACGAACTATTTTTGATGTTTACACATCTTTTCTGGTTCGTTAAAAAAAAACAAACAACTAAATATGTGCATCTATTCAATTGTTTTTTTTAAATGTAAATAATACTATACCTTGCCTTTCACTTCCACATGGCATGGTATGACAGGTATGACACATTGACGTTTTGTATACGTTGTTACACTTTTCTGTCCTTTCTTCGCAGAAGAGTTACAAAAACTTTAGATTAAACAAGTTGTACCCAAAATGACTCATTTTATATGTAAATACTTTTCCTACGTGAACGGGGGGAATGTAGTATAAATACGTTTATTTATATCGGGTTCGGGGTTTGGTCTGTGGTTTATGTGATTACAGATCACCTATTTTTAGTGCCTTTCCTTTATCCGACACTGAAGAGTGCAGACGTATCTCCGTCCTGTCCGGTGTTTTCGGGTTTGAGGCCATCTTATCCTTGGTAAGAATAATTGTACAAATTATACAGAATTATACAACAAAACCTTTAACGACCCATGAATTTTGTAATAGCTATCTAGCATTTTACATGGAGTTTGAAATAAAGTGTAAAGTTCATGACACTCTCCTCGTCATAACAACTCTAATTAGCAGTGACTTGACGTCATTTTCCATTATGGCGTCATATTTTGGTAGTTCAGAGAAGTGAAGGCATAGAGTGCACTGTGATATTCTATGGGAAACCTTAACCTAACTGCAGGGAGTATCTCGGCTTATTCTTGGATTATGCGTCCCAGGTGTCTCATTTGCAGTTTTTGTGCAGTTCTAAACCGGTTGCGCAAGTACTACGATCTTATGAAACGATCCTCACTAGGCGTCGTCACCTTTGGTCGACCAGTTCGAGGGCGATCAGCATTAGTATTAGTTTGTCTAAGGCGTTTGTAGAGACGAGATATTAGAGAGGTTGAGATTTAAAACTTGTACGCGTACGTGTACGTGTGCACAAACTTTGACGTACACGTACACAGTTTTTGTAATTTGTCTGTTGAGATTTTAATGACGTGTAACGTGAACGTGTAGACTGTAATCGGTGTCTCTGTTTCAACTATTTAGTAGTTTTGTGACATTAGTTTGACTTTAGTTAGTGAACAAAACATGGTAAAATAAATGTTCATGAAACTTAACATCCTAATAAATTAAAAACAATAACAGTTTCACACATAAATCGACTAGTTTTTATTGAAAAAGCTACAAGTTTACACCTACGTGTAGATGCCTTTTTACAAGTTGTAGGAACGTGTAGAAAACTTATCAACGCCAAAACTGATGACGTAATACGCAAGAAATTTAGGGAATTCCCCTATTAGACGTACTCGTACACGTATGAAATCTCAACCTCTCTATTGTGCTTTTGTGGCATTCAGTGTTCTTGCAAATTCACTATGGGTGTTTCCAGCCAACAGTAACTGCACTGCCCTATTGCGCGCATCATTTTATAGCCTAGGCATACTTAATGCCTTATGAAAAACAAATTTTAATGTCAGACTATTCATACCAGATACCAGATACCTGAAGAATACCAAAATCTGAGACGCACGAAATACTGTGGCGTGTATCCGTGCTTGTGC